ACACACACACACACACACACACACACACACAAATTATTAACGACATTGTTGATTGCAGTCAGCTTCGGAATCCTATTGCATTTTAAAATGATTATCAAAACTTTTCGGTCATTCTTCATATTTGACATTTCCTGATATGATATTGGATGCATTGAATGTAGTCATGCATTGATTACATTCTCTTAGATTGTTTAGTTGTCAGATTGCTAGGAAAAATTTGTTCAAATAACACAATGAAATTAAAAGTGAAACAAGACGTATACCAGTACAACTTTTCATAACATGCTTTTTCATTTCTTTTTTTCTAAACCATAAATCATACTGAAATCCAAGTGTATGTTTATATTTCAAATGTTTTTATTCGTTCAACATTTTTTTCGCTCAAAATTTTAAATTAACTGTATTTGCAGAAATTTAATCGTCGAAATATTGTATATGGTTTGATGTGCGTAGAAAATAAAAATTTATGATCAAAAATTACCGAAAATCGGATGCTCTAAATGAGCTTCACATAGCAATTAGAGCTAATAAGCCTGGATTGGTGAGTTTGTTAATATTTAAATGAAGAAATAAGGATCAAAATATCGAATTTTATTAACTCGCTAAAATTTACAATTTTTATTTAGGTGTTATACACACTGCAGCATCATCGAAGTTTAAATATCAACTCAAATTTGATGCGTACCTCTGCCCTTTCGTTAGCTGTTCGAAATCAAAGCGAGCAAATTGTTCGAATATTACTAGACTATAACTGTGAGTTAAATAAGCTCTCATCTGATGAGAGCGGTCGACTTGAAACACCTCTTTATACAGCTGTACGACTTCACAATTATGCCATTGTTGAGCTACTCCTGGTTCGCTTTCTCAAATTACGTGTAAATAAGGTTACCTGAATTGCTCAAAAACAAATTTTATTAGTTGCTAAAAAAAAAAAATAACAAAAGCGGAATATAAGATTAGGTTTCTTTGATCATAGGAATATAAATCCGTTCAGCAAAAGCTTTCCTTATAAGGCATTCAGAATAGTGTGAACATGTGATATGAAAAATTACTCATGAAATTTAGTTTGATTGACTAACAAAATTTTTTGGAAAATTTATTAAATGAAGGTTTAATTCAATAATATTCCTATTAAATAAACATAAACTTCAGATTTTTGCAAAGATTTTGAATTTTCAATTTACTTTCAATCAAATGTGATTTTTGACATCCAATTTTTTGCATTTTTATCAAATTCCAAAATGATTGCAAAATTTAATGATTTAAAATTTTTATTTTAAATTTCAAAAAAATTATGATTGCACGAGTTGATCGTTTGCAGATGTATGGAGCAGATCCTAATGTGACAGTATCAGATAATCGCACGCCGCTGTACATTGCAACAAAAGAAAGATGCTTAAACATTTGCAATCTACTCATTGCTTTTGGAGCTAATTTGGATATTCCTGATTGTACTGGACAAACTCCTTTACATCTCGCATGCCGGAATATTACTGGTTTCAGTTTGCTTTAGTATTTGAATATGCTTGTATCACTTCGGATCAAGTCACATTTTTTCGATTTTGATGAGATGTTCCACAATCAAATATGATGTCATGAATCTGTTTATCGGTTGATGGGAAACAAAACGTAGTATTCAATATCAAATAAAGAAGATAAGCGTAGATCAGATCAAATCGTACTCAGAAAATAAAAAATATTTGTTAAGGAATGAATTTACAAAAGGGCATTAAAAACAGAGAAGATATATTTAAATAATGTACTTTCCAAATATCGAATCGAAAATTTCGTTCAAAGCAATTAAATTATTTTCCTTAACTTTTCTTTTCCATTTTCATATCGTTCTGAAACTTTATATATACTTACCTAATTTAGGCCGTGAACAGATTGCTATGTCGCTTATTGCTCATGGCGCTAATGTACATGCTTCTGATTTCAAACGTCGCCTTCCGTTAGATTTTGCCGAGATCAATGCTTCTATTCCAACCATTGAGCGATTACTTGAAGAAGGATCACCAATCAGTAAACACATGAAAGAACGGTTCGAATCAAATATTAAGAACACATGCTCATTCTCGTATTAAATATTTAATTTAGTAGTTGATTACAATTCTTTCCTTAAACGAACAATGCAAGTCAACAATCTGAATTCTATTAATTACATCACGTAAGACATTTAGTTAATCGGTTAATTATATTAAATGATATGACAATGGAAATTAATCCAATAAAAATCTGAAAAGCATAACAAAAAAAAGGATGTCGTTGATTGCTTTCATTAAAGAATTTAGAATTAGAAATATGTTGCAAGACAAACCCGATCAACGAGGAAGAACAGAGAAGATTGATGGGCAGAATTGTGCATTAGCCACCGTTATTAATAAGATCCATTCGGTAATAAGCTTCTACTTTAGTGCATTTTCACTTTTCTAAGAAATCTGTTGGAAGATAAGCAAAGAGAGAGAGAGAGAAAGAGAGAGAGAGAAAGAGAG